AGCTAGCTGTCTATCGATCTATTGATCTAACGATCTATCGATCTATGTATATACATCTATCTACCTGCCTATCCATGCATCTACCTGTCTATCTATCTATCTATCTATCTATCTAGCTATCTATCTAGCTAGCTAGCTAGCTAGCTAGCTAGCTAGCTAGCGAGCCAGCTATCTACCTATCTATCTATTTTTCTATTTATATATCTATCTGCCTATCTGCCTATTTGCCTCTCTCTGTCTCTCGATCTGTCTGTCCGTAATTTTGCTGTCAGACAGATGGACACCTACGTGTAACGCGCATGCCTGTATGCATGCATACACGCATCTGCGTATAGGAAGCGGAGGCAAGAGCAACACGGAAATGCAGTGAGAGAGCAATCGCAGGCCGAGCCACCCGAGCCTCCGGAGCAAGTGCAAGGCCAGTCCGCAGCCTGGGGATTTTCTAGGGTTTATTTGGGCCGTGAGGGTTGGATTGAAAAAGGCTCGATGGGCTTGTGGAAGGGGTTGAATACAGAGGTGCGTGCGGATTTTCAAAGTTTTATAAGGAATCTTCCGCTAACTTGTCGTGATGTGCGCTTGGGCTCGCCCTGCTCTAGCACGAATGCCCAATTATTCTGCGAGTAGGATTCAGGGTTGAGGGTAGAGGATTACTGCTGAGAGTAGTTTGCGACTTGTGACATCAAGGGTGTGACAGGATCTTTGGTCTGGGCAGTCATTCTAGCTAGGATCAATGATTGCGCTGATGCCCAGCTTGAACCTTCAGGGGGATGGGCAAGGGTTCCTTATAAACCTTGAGCCCCATACCCGGAAAGCCAGGTGCGGAGCACGTGAAGGGTTCCAAGGCCCCTGCCTTTTGCCCTGTTGCCATCGGCTGGCGTGGGTTTTAGTTTTGGGAGTAAGGTTTCGGATTCAAGGTGCCTGCTTCGACCGGTAGGTGGGCTCTTTTTGGCTCGGGGAGTGTCCCGGCAGGACTTAAACCGGTTGTGGGACTCAGGGATCGCAGCATAGGATTGTGTGTGCAGTGGTGAGGAATTAACTTGAGGGCCTGGCAGGTGTAGGTGTTGGGGTGATTCATGGCGAGGCCGGTCCTCTTCAGAAGCTTCGAAAAACTTGGCCTCTCCTCCGTGTCAGCTGGAGCCCCAAGCACCCCGAACCAAAGGACATGTCTCTCACCGAGGTCAGGAACCGAAGAAAGCCAGCAACCCAAGACTCGAAAGCTTCAAACCCTAAGAAAAGCCCTGAAGCCCAAGATGCCAAGCGCTGCACCGTTCCAGCGCCCTACACCAAAATCGTCGAATCCTCCCGCGAGCCTATCGCAAGTCAAAGTCGGCGAGGTGGTGGTCGTGAACGGTGTGCCGTCGGGAGCCCGGTTTAGGGCTTGCTGGCCGTACTAACAATGCACCCGCAGACTCAAAAGCCCTTGAACGCCAAGCTCGAGGCCCTGAGACATAAGCTGTGGAAGCTAGACCGGCCGCTGTCCAGTTGCATACTGAATTCATGTTCATCTTCTTCCTTATCTCTATCGTCATCATCAACAGCATGTGCATCAGCACTAGCAGTGTCAGCATCAGGATGCATGATCTTCCTTTTCACCACCACGACCGCCATCTTGAATCATCAGCGTCGTTTCATCTTTATCTTCATGAGTCATCGTCAGCACCTGCACGAGGCTGGGGTTGTATGATTTCCCGGCTTGAGGCATGAGGGGTGGGAGTCCAAACCCGTCGATTTCGAGGCCTCTTTCTCCATGACTTTCCAGCACAGTATGCAGGGCGGATGGGGATCCTTGGGGTTGACAGGGCACGTACAGCACGCCTAGTTTATAGCTTAGAGGGGTTGGGGGGGGGGGGGGGGGTGTCTAGGGCTTTTTGGTGCGCATAGCAGACTATGTTGCCTCAGGGTTCTGTTGCAAATTAATTCGCGCTCATGGCTTGTGTACTCTGTGTTTTGTGTCGTTTGGATTTCGGCGAATTCTGTTGGAAATACAGCATGAGATTAAGGCTTCGGGGGGCATGTGGTTGGTCATGAGGAGAAAGGCACGTAAGGGTTTGGAGTACAGGTTTCGGGTGTGAAAGTTTAAGTTGAGCAAGGTATACCCAGCTGAACACCATCGGCCGCGGTGGAAGTTCAAAGGCACCTGGGGCGGAGTGAGTATCCAGAAGCCGGTACAACTCCCAACGCGACTTCAATAGGACTTCAACATCCTCTCTTCGCAGAATGTTCAATCCAGCTTTGAATTCGATGATGAAGAGAGCATGTGCGGTAAAGTTTGTGAAGTTAGGGGATGCAGCGGTTCCGTTGTTGGGCCTTGCGATGTCTTGCGAGCATGTTCAAACAAGAGGTATCGCCCTGCGGTTGGTTGCACAGAGAGCCCATGTCGATGACAGAACCAAGTGTTGAATGCAACATCACAGCTCGAGCTCCGAATAGCCCACACAGGCCCTGCAAAAGCCTCTGCTTCATCAACCCCAAACATGTCAGGAATGAGGTGTCGAAGGACGAAACTGCTTATCTTACGTCTCAGCCTACGTCCTCGTATTTTTGAGAGGGCTTACAGGGGCTACCGCGCACCCTAAACCCTAAACCCTAAACCCTAAACCCTAAACCCTAAACCCTAAAGGGGGAGCCAGGTGTACCTCGTCCAGAACCCACAGGGCTCCACCTTCGCCCTGAAACGAGTGGCGCGCCGGGCCCAGGTTCAGAAAGGGCGGCCGTTAGGGGTTTGTTTTGGGGTTTAGGGTTTAGGGTTTAGGGTTTAGGGTTTAGGGTTTAGGGTTTAGGGTTTAGGGTTTTGTTTGAGCTTCTTGGGACGGCTCATCGTTTCGAGGGGGTGTATAGGGTGTATAGATGTGTATAAGGTTTAGGGTTGTTGTTGAGTTTGTTCTGTGGTGGTGTGCTAGTGGGGGGGTACAGCGCGGCTTGAGCCCAGACCCGCAACCCTAAATGTGACCTATACCCTGCCAAGTGGTAGGTCTATTCCTTTCCAATGCCGCTCGTTCAACCGTTGCAAGCTGCTGCGCGCTGCGCCAGACCCTCATGTGGCGGCTAAGGACCGAAAGCGTGAAGCAGCTAGAGGCACGAGTCCTGCAGAGGGACAGACGGACCTAAACTGACTATGTCGATTTGCGGAGTCTTCAGCATCTGGGGTTGCGGAATTGTGGCCATGAGCTGAGGAAACAAATGCAAGGTGTGCAGGGTTTCAGCTTGAGGAGAGTGGCCACCGGGTATACAGGCACAACCTTGACTTGTGTGCCTGATATTTTACATGCATGATGTATGTGTATATATAGGAACGAAGAACTCGGTGAGCACAATGAGAGCGGCAGCAGTCCGTTCGGCAGCCTTTGAACGGAGCCTAAGTGCGAGATGAGGAACTGAATTCCTGAATTCAACGTGCAGCTGTTAGTTTCCTGCCTAAGTCCCTACTCATCATAATCGCTTCCCCCGCTCTTTATGCGGGGTTTGAGGTCAACTACTTCGTGTTTCGCTAGGGCTGGGATCTAGCATGGTGCACACAGGCTTAACCACCTCTTCGAACCATACCTGGAGGCCTTATCCTTGCGAGGCCTTCCAAAACGAAGTTGTGCTTCTCCAGCAGCTTCGAGACCGTGACAATGTCATCCAGGCCTCATGCAGGGGCTCACAACGTTGATTTCATCTCGATGGGAGTTTTGAGATGTTTTGAGGAGCAATCCGCAAGCACGTGCTGACGAAATGCTTAGTCTTAGAATCTGTGTCTATACACGTAGATCAGACCCTCTAGCTTCGACCCCAGCCTCGAAAGTCTGAACTTGTGTTTAGCTCTTTCTGTCAGGGCTGGGCTGGAATCTAGGCTTGGGCTTTGCGTGCGGGTTTGGGCATACGCGTTCTTGGCTGTATGAATGACCTCCCCCAAGGTGGTGGATGCGGAGGTCGACCGCGAGCGAGGCCGCATCAACATCGTCATGGAGGCCTCGGGTTGAGCGTTTGGGGAACAGGCACTAGACGCGTCCAAACTGCCAGAAAAGGAACCCTCCAGCACTTTAGACCATCATCATCATCATCATCATCATCATCACCGTCATCGTCATCAGCAGCATCAGCGACAGCAGTAGTAGCAGCAGCAGCAGTAGCAGCAGCAGCGGCAGCATGAATTTCATGTTGATAGAACACCCTGCTGTCTCTTCCGGTGAGGCTGGCGACATGGACCTGGGCCGCTTCCTTCAGTCACAGCCCAGGATGGAGACAGGGGGAAGGGGGTTTGAAACTTTGAAGACGGAGCAGGTTCGGGTTAGGGTTGGAGCGGGAATCTCGTGGCGTCATTGCAAGCAAGACTTCGCAAAGTTCGATCTCGCTTCGACAGCACACCTTTGTGTTGTTTGGGCTGCCCGAACCCCAAACCTTGCCCTGCTGGAAGTATGGCAGCAGTGTGCGTTGAGTTTTGTTGCGTCGGAGTTATTTTGCAGGCAGTACTCTGTGAAAACACCCATTGTTCGGTCCCTAACTGGCCATTGCAGTGGATCTGACTTGTCTCTCGTGCTGTGCGCATGACATACATCGTGGACTTAGTCAGGCCCTCATCCTGCACACAACGCCGTGACATTTTCCTGACGGCCATGGCCATTTGCATCAATCCCTAAACCGGGGTTTAGGGCGAGTGTGGGATCCTTCCTATCGCGTTTCTATCGATGCTATTACCACGACGACTACTCTTTCGTGGGCTTCTTCCACCGCTACTGTTCGCTCTGTTCCTACAATTGCTGCGACGACGTCTACTCCTACTACGATGCTTGATTTGACCGCGGCGTGCGGCTGTGGGCGCAGGCTGACGCTGTCTCAGATCCAGCACCTCTGGAAGCAGATGCTCGAAGCGGTCCAGGCTCCAAAGCCCGAAGCCCTTAAACTCTTCCTCTGCTGGAACCTCGTTGCATGCAGGGTCCTGCAATTCTGCCGAGTTGATGTTCTCAAGGATCCCGCAAAATCCAAGTTTCCCGTATGGCACAGCTCTAGAAGACGCCGTGAACCGATCAACCCGTGTCAGGCTCGCTCGGATTGGGTCATGTCACTTAGGATCTCTCGTCCTTGTCAACTTGTTGGTTCCCCGCAGCACAGATCATTGCTCTGCTTGCTTCGTGCCTGTGGGATTCGGGTGTTCCGGTGTGCGGTTCTGTGGTGTTTTGTTTTTCTCAGCTGCACATGCTCTGAGAGGAGAAGAACCTGAGGTTTGGGTTGGTGCTCAAGCTCGAAAAATCCACGAAGAACTCATGGATGGGATCTTGGGCATGTGCCCAGGGAATGGTGTTGACACAGACCCTGAACCTCGAACCTTAGATGGCATAGGCAGATGGCTCAACATGAAGAAACGAGCTCTCACGCATGCGTGCACAAGCACATGGGTAGTTCCCTAAACTAGGTTCCTTTTGGGTCCCCCATATAGTACGGCACCCCGTTATAAAAAGGACCCCAAAGATATCCTAATTTAGAGAACTGCCCACATGCACACGAGACCTCCGACCTCCGCCTCAAAAGATGCCCAAACCAACAAAGCACACGCAGACGAAATTGGCGGTTGGCATCGTGAGCTCGAAGTATGACACCTGATGACTTAGGAATTTGTGAGATATCCTATAGGAAGAGTTTAATGGGAATGATATAGCTTTTTCTAAAGGCATAGTTCTACCATCATATTCTGGAAGCATGTGCATTTCGTACGGCCGAACTGGCGTGGTTTGTGCTTCCGGCTGGGCAGGTGATCCACCAAGAGAGGATCGTCCATTCCGCATGGCTCTCGGATTGGGCGAGGGGGGTCCAACATCCCTAGAAGGGAAGCTGGCGGAGTAGACCTATGCAGCAGCTAGATTAGACAGGAATAGCGTTACTAACTGCAAACTTCGCTTCCTGTAAGATTTCCTGTTGGTATGCCCAATCTTTTTGTTCGCCCTTGTGCTGCACCTTGTAGAAAGTCACACCTGAACCCCTAAATCCCCGAACTCGTCGACCATGAAGAACCCTTCCCTCTGCCCTGAACGCCTGCAGCCATTTAAAGGAGTTTTTGCATCCGATCCCGTCTCTTCCTCCGTCCCAGCCACGATGGCCAGACTCCCGGCTGTGCAACTTGGACTACAGAGCCGCAGCCAACAGTTACCCTCTTCTGTCTGGTGCTTAGTAGGGAATGGGGGAATGGATCCCTATGATAGTCCCTTAAGGTCCCTTATAGTAGTCCCTTTTACCCCATTCCCCCATTCCCTACTAAGCACCAGACTAGCTGGGGCACCCCCAGCCTCGGATTTTGAAAGCCCTGGGTGGCTGTGGAGATTTTCGGGGCGTGTCTGGCTTTGGGCTTTGTAGGCTTATGGGATTTCGAGCTCACGGCTATGGGTTTAGGGTTTGGGGTGTATCTGGGATTCAGCTGCTTCGGGTTTCGAGCGTAGCTTTTTCATGCGAGAGGCTTGTGATTTCAGGGTTTGGGACGTGTGATTCAACCACAGGCCTTGCACTGGGCTTACGATTGCCGATTTGCGATTTGGTTGGTGGGGGAGTGCGCGGCGGCTAAGGATTTTGAGTTGGGAGTTTTAGGGTTTTAAGCTTGAAGGGTGGTTAGCATCTTCTTCTGAAAATGTCGAGCATGCGAGATGGAGTCAGCAGCTACTCGGCTTCAGTGGTCACCTGTGTTCGGAGACTCCTGGCCTCGTGGATAAAAGACACCTTAAAGAACCGGGCACTGCACTTCTTGTAGTTCTCTTGCGGACTCGGGAGGCTAGGGTGCTTCCGCGGTGGTATCTAGCCTGTTGCTGCAACGGGGGTCTCCCTAACCTGTGCTGCAAAGCACTTGAAGGTTCATGGGTCGTTAGAACACAAATAGGCATTAGAAGTAGCTTGTCCTCGACTGGTTGCCTTGCGTATAAGCATACTTGCTGAGTCGGATGATCGTTAAAGTCGCCGAAAGCGAGCCCCGATCAGCGGCTCAGGTGCGTTCTTGCGGCTGCTGCCTGCTGCCTCCTCCGCTCCATGGCCTTCGTGCCGGCTCCCGCTCCCCGAAGCGACTCGGCTAGGAAAGCTTCTGCGGGCTCGAGACTGATGATGCTTGCTGCATGTATGTGTGTAGGGTCACTGCCGAGGTGATGTGGTGACCACGGCCGCAGGCGCTGCCGTGATCGCCAGTGCCCCCATGGCCGCAGATGCGTTCGTCTACAAGGGCGCCTTAGCTTCGTTTGGCCCGCTTCTGCCTTGGGCTGTGTTCCAGAGCTGGGGTTCCCTGAAATTGTGAGGAGGTGTCGGTTTCATCTTCACCTGGCTGTTGCAAGCAAAGTAGAGCTGCATAGCTTTCGCTGCCTACGCAAAATTGCCGATCTCTATGTCAGCAATCCATCTAAGAACGGAGATCTGTATCCACACGCCTTGGACTGTCGTGTTCTAGATTCTAGATCCCCTAAATCGTACTCGGAAGCCCTAGCAGCCCTATCAGCCCTAACTCCTAAACCCTAAACTTTCCCAAAAACTCGAGCCAGGCAAGGAGTACTTCGACGTCTTCTACGGGATCGAGCCCTTGGCCTGGGCCTTCTGCGGCTTCTGCCTCCTGGCTCAGCGCTTCTTTGGGGGGCTCAGGCTTAAGCTGAGGGAGTTTGGGTGGCCTCCAATTGCTGTGAGGGTGTCGGGAGCGGGTTTAGGGTTTAGAGTTTGCGGTTTAGGGTTTAGGGTTTAGGGCCTAGGTGCGCTTCTGAGACCTTGAAGCCATGAACCTTTCCTGTTCTGCGGTGTTCGGGCTTTTGTTGTCGGGAGCTTGGGGTAACGTGTGAGACGGCGCCGCCCAGGTTGACCACCACTCGCAATGACAAATAAACACCTATTACAAGTAGATGTAAGGCAAGGACAAGCACAAGCAAAAGTACTACTTACTACTTACTACTACTACTACTACTACTACTACTACTACTACTACTCCTACTCGTACTCCTCCCGCTGCTGCTTCTGCTCCTGCGCGTACCAGCACCATTACCATTGCCAGTACTGCAGCGAGCCCTGCTGTGCCGAACAGTGGTCATAACTGCCGACATCGTCAACCTGTAAGCCCCATGATCGGGTCAAGAGCCTTAGGCCTCATCTTTGGATCGTAGGTTCCTTCTCAAGGCTTCTGAATCAAGGGCACTAAAAACTTTGGGAACCCGAATCGCTTGCGGGTTGTGTTTGATGCTGAGAGGTTGGTTGAGGTTTGGCATTTGGCTTCCTCTGCGTCGGTCGATTTGAGGCTCAGGCTGACGAGCGCTAGGCCCCCTCAAAGCCGGATACCCTAAACGCCGCCAAAGACGAAAGCCCCCAAGCCCATATCTCCAGGCATCGTCTACTACGGAGCCGTCCTGAAGAACGCAGCACAAAAGTACAACATCCCACCGGCTCCTCAGCCACCCAAGGCTGGGTTTCGGCTTGAGGGTGCAGTGGTAGGATTGAAGCTGTTTGCCTGGGGGCCGTGTCCTAGGTTACCTAGGAGTAGTCGTAGCAGTAGTGAAGTCGTAATATGATGGTCTTGTTTGCTGCAGTGTTTGTTCTTGGTTCTTTGTAGTGGCAGGTCGAGCAGGTACTTTAGGAAAGATGTTTCCCGTGCTTGGATGACTCTGCGTCCGTTTGCTGCAAACACGCTCTGGCCACAGGTCGGTGGCTTCGTCGGCAAGGAGGTCGAGAACTCGGAGCCCAGCTACATGGACCCGGCCATCAAGCAGGGCCCGTACTGAGCAGGTCGGCTCTTGTTTCTCACCGCCCCCACTAAAGCACACCGTAAGTGCTTAATTTGTGGCTCTAGCGCAAAAGCGCTCAGGAAGCCAGCAAAGACAATCGGGCGCTTGCGAAAGCATTGCAGGGTCTCGTGCCGATATACTTATTAATACTAATACCAATACTGATACTAATACTGATACTAATACTGATACTAGTACTAAGACTAAGACTAAGATCCAGACTAACATTAAGACTAATTCGAATAATAATACTATGACGACGACGACGTCGACGACGACTACTACTACTACTACTTCTACTAACGCTGCTGCTACGACGACGACGACCACTACTACTACTACTACTACTACTACTACCACCACTACTACTACTACTACTACGACGACGACGACTACTACTACTACTTCTTCTTCTACTACCGC